GGAGATACTGCAGAAGACCTGAATACAACCCACCACATCTGAAGAGATCGGTTTGATATAAAAAGTGATTTCCGCTCTAGAAAACAACACTGAATGGGCACACCACTGATAAATTTTGTCTAACGCTGTAATACTGATAAAAATTTTTAAATTGAAATATTAAAGAGATCGGTGGACGCCACGTCAGACAGTGTCTTTCTTTATGTCTGAAATTTATGCTAGCTAAAATTAAACGGTTATCTGAGCACAGTTGTAATAGGCAATTACCGTTATCTGTTCGTTCAGCTAGGACTCCAAAAATGTCACCCAGATGATTTCCTTCCTGACTCAGACTACTGACTTGTGCACTGAAATCACCTGCAACAACCACCAAGTCTGAGCGCTTTGCTTTCAGCAAGAGTCTAGATAGTTTTCGGTAAAACTCATCCTTCATTTCATCCGAACTGATGTCAATGGGTGTGCAAGCAGAGGTTACAAAGAGACAATAGTAAGTTTCAAAATTCTGTTTTGTTGTCACTATCCTGTTGAGTCAAACAGCGCATCAGTGACTGTCAACAAGTATTCATTCAAGTACAGAACCTGTTGCCTTAGTGCTCAATCCTGTACATACAACACCAAGACTGTGAGAACCAGTCATCAAGTCTCTGGAAACTCCAAAAGTGGATTTTGTGGATTCACTATAACGGTCGAATGAGGTTAACTGAATGACTGTACATGGGTTATTTATGCGTGTCTCAATAACACAGCAGGCAGACTCCACTAAGCCATTGGGACACGATAGTCACCTTTTGAGTAACGGGTATCGGTTCTTGTTACAAATATCATAACAAAAACTGCAAAAGAGGTGGCTATCATGTCGCAGTGGCTTAGTCGATAACGTTCTGGCGTTTGAAGCGAAGGGTACTGGGTAGAAGCCTAAGTGGGAACAACATCACGTACTGAGGTGCAGGTACATCCAGCTGACGAGTCTCAAAAGAAAGGGACGCACGTCTAGGATTCCTCTGCTAGTCACCGAGATAATTCTAACTCCTCAATGGATATCACAAAAAGATTTCTCCCCCTGTTTATAGACTAGGATGATCGGTGAAGTGAAACAGTCCCATGATACTACCACTGATTCCTATACACTACATAGTACCTCCATCACATCAATCAGCAGTTTCCCACCACCATTCCTGAAAACGTCGGGTGGCAAACCGTCAAGTCCTGCTGTCTTCAGTCGTTTTAGGTTCGACACAGCTTTCTTAACTTCAAGAAGAGTTGGAAGACCAACATCTACGTCTCGCTCACGTTCAGGCTGGATGCTGGATAGCTGAGGCGTTACTGAGGATCATTTAAACTGTACTTCAAAGTGTTCTAACCAACGTTCTAGCCTCCTGTCGTGGGAGGTCGTCAGCATCCCATTCTTCTCGGTGGTAGTCTCACTAACCATCATCTTCTTACTGGTATCCCTAAGAAGCTCAGATAGTGTCTAAGTGTTACCTAAGGCTGATGCCCTCTCCATCTCTCTCGCTGTCGTCACCCACAACTGTCAGTGATCATTAAAACACTTGGTCAGCTCATGTTTAAGCTGCTTTCGCTCATCATCGTAGTCAGAGATAGCTGGAATCAGTCTTCTCGCATCAATCAGTTCGGAAGACATCGCGGAACTCCAGTGACGTTTGCTAACCTTCGGGTCTAGGTTACCAATTGTCTTTATTGCTGTTTCTACAGCACACATATCACGCCAGACTTCCTCAGGATAAGCATTCCTGTCGTGCTCAGATAAATGCTTAATCGACTCCCCAAATGCATACTTGGCATCCTCCTCTACTAATCGAGCACAGATGAACCTCACTGCTTTCTGTTTCTTGCGGCTAGTAAAGTGCAAATAAACACCACCCAATACTAGCGCGTGATCATAGTCAAAACTGGTACTCTAGAAAGAGCCCCAATACTCCTCTCTAACGATGGCTGACAGAAATCTGTGTCCATCGTTGGTTTGAAGTTGGTGGACGTCATGTGAGACAGTGTCTCTCCTTTTGCCTAAAGTTAGCGCTAGCCAGAAACAAGTGATTGTCGGAACGAAATTGCGACAGACGATCATCGTTGTGGATTCGTTGGCATGGCATCCCGTAGTTATCTTCAAGATTGCTTTTCGATTGGCTCAGCTTCCTTACTTGAGTGTTTAATTCATCTACCATCATGAATACATCTGAACGCTTTGCTTTCTGCAGCATACGATACCTTCTCATAGAATTCATCCTTCGCATCATCCAAACTACAGTCGGTGGGTGAATAGACATAGCCTAGTCTCACGATCCTTCCTACTCATTACAGATCCATTCAGCCGAACAGCACATAGACGACTGTTGACTGAGATCCAGTCGAGGAACACACTTTCTGCTCTAGGATACAATGCAATGCTTACACCCGCAAGTCCATGAGAGCTAACCATTGCGTCTCCAGATACTCTTCAGGTGAATTGTGGGGATTCACTACTATGACCAGGTGAGGTCAATTTAGTAACCACACTCGGGTCCTGTATACGTGTCTCAGAGGCATAGCATACACCCATCGCTACAGATTCTAGAGTTATGGCGAGCGATGCTTACCCTCCGACTTGGCATAGAGTTGAAAGTTCCCACACAGACCGATGGTGGGGTCTTAAGAGACGAAAAATAAGGTCCCGACGGCTTTGATTGTTCGTAGCGGTCACAGGATAGGACGTTAGGTGACATGAGGTGAAGGCAAAGGAGTAGACAGAGTATAGGAGTAAAACTTAGGAACAGTGGTAGATTGTACTTCCATTTTAGTCTGTTCATTAAAAATGTCACACAATGAAACAGTATCATTTACTGGATAACTTTTCGGACTTAATTTATTGGCTGTATTCATATCTTATCAGACAGAGTTGAGGAGGATAGGTTACGTTTGTTTGGGTTTGTGTACAAATCATCAAAACCAAAACAGGACCAGGCATTAATGAACAACGATCCAAGTTGCCACATCTTATATAAGCACATCAAGTAACAAGGCAATAAAATAGATGAAGAAAAACTGGTCAAAAGAAGCAGAAAGTAGTAGGAGAGGGAGAATGAGAAAATAATGAGATTAAGTACAGCTGTAAAGATGATAATAACGTGTGTACACGTTTGCTATATAACCTATAGTCTTCAACCAATGGTTTCTCATGTTCCGTGATCCTCAGTCGGTTAGTCTGCATCTCCCAACATGGGTCGAACCAACAGTCACGAACTTCGTGCATTGATGATGTGGTCACCCAGACCTTTTTTCCAGACTGAACCGACTTCAGCTGACACTGCGCGACGACGCAGACGGTGACTAATCATACGTAATACAAGTTGCAGAGACCTCAGTCGATGGAGGTTCACAACCGCATCAACCGACTTTCTTCTCTCACTTACAACTCTACGCCTGACTTCTGCGTTACTAACGTGGTAACACCACGAAACACGGCCTATGTTGCGAAGGCAACGGAGGTCTTGTTTACTACTGGAAGTGTGCGGACAGTTGACACCTCCCGACTTCCCACACAGTAGATGGTTAGTTCTTCTTGACATACCTCAGAGTTCAATGGAGATCAAGCACAGCATTTCGCAACTATGAGATTTTGGTTTGTTGCTTTCAAATCCCACTATGAATCCTTGTAGTAGGCATCGGCAAGCCACGGGGTGATGGGAGTATGCTCTTTTGAGGGTCACTCTTTTCTAATCCCTCTCTATCCTACAGAGAAGGTAGCATCAGCGTGGTACTGCTGGTCATCTAAGGGAAACACTTTACTGCTATCACACTCCGCTCCGGTTAGCAGTACGACTTCGCCCTCAGACCCCAATCATAGGGTAGTAATTCACAATATAATGGGAACTGCTTTTTGTCTAACCGTTATCCAACAGATCTTTTTGACACGATACGACCTCCAATGAACAAGCGTTCCACTAGTACAGCTCATTGGGTCATTGTGATATATACAAGCACGACCACGATGTCAAGGTAGCAGACATTGGTCGGCTGACCTTTTTCAAGAAAGGTGGAAATCACGTTATGGCAGCAACAGAGGAAGTAGTTTGACGAAAATAGTGTACGAGATCCTAGGTTTCATTATCACCAGACGCTGAAGTAAACAATAGGAACAAATCTGAGTAAACAATACAGTTTGAAACCCGGTGATGGATGTGCCAAACAGAATCATATTCTCAATCAGAACATGAAACAAACATACTTAAACCCAAAGAACACCCGTTTTTTTTTATCTGAAGGTAGCATTCACCTCTGTTAGGCAAGTATTAGTTTGGAAATGTCTTTGAACTTGTTGCATTGTATCCTGATAAGGTGATGTGAGATGAATCAAATTGAACTATAGCGAAACATCACATACTGTGTTGATACTAAGTGAAATAGTAAACTATACCATGCTATTATTAGTTGAATTCAGTGGTCTTTCGACTAATTATCATCTGAATTCATAGTTTCAAGAAGAAAAAAGGCGAAAGCTACTACATTTCAAAAACACAAAATCTTATTCACCATACAGAAAAAGGTCTCTAAAGTCGGACAAAATACGTTTGAGAGAATTTCAATTTTTAGGTACATTATACATTACATGTATTTCTTCAGTAAAAATACCAACTATTACAACATAATTAAATAAATATAAACAATAAATAACAGCACAATGAATCTCCGTTTATCGCTTGACCAATTTTCAAGCGCTAGGTATTATTTATCACCAGTTAATACTTAAATAACCTCTTTTCATCTTACAATACAGACTAGGAAATAGCAAAGGAGAGTCAAAAACGACTAGTATGCTCTTTCCCAGATCAACTGTTCGGAAGTGATGTTTTCCTAAAGCAGTTTCTTATACCAACAGGAACTCATCCAGACTACTCGCAATTTCTCAACACAAAACGAGTAGCATATACACTATAAACAGGGAAATAAATATTTCGCGACGAAACATTTGAACAGTAAGAAAATAAAATAGAGGAAGACGTTGTCTATCGATAATACGGCGGCCGAGCGACATGAATACCCCTATCATTTAAAGAAGCAATAAGATCCTCCAGCGTAAGAGTGGCTCGGCGATCAGCAGGAAATTTATTGGTTCCCGGTTTCGCATCTGTAAAAATTCAAAACATAAGTATTAAAATATTTAGAAGTAGTATTCATCATGGACTGACATCAGTTGGGGAATCATCGAAAATCTGGGAGCCCGGGACAGGAAAACGAATTAGTATTAGTGTAATAGAATAGCAAATAAACTCGTAAATACTGGGGCAAATTTAGATCTAATGGTTGAGAAGAATTTCGCTACTGATTAGATTAAATCACCTAGTCCGAAGTATATAACTTAAAGCGGATTAAAAAAGTTGTTTCTTCTGACGATTGGTGCTAATAAATTAAAGATTGTAATTCTTAGTATCAGGACATGTACTTATGATATCTAGGTTAAAATCCGTCTGGGTGCATAACTTGACAACTACCAAGAGATTGGTTAGCACAGGAGATCATAAAGAGCGAGTGTATGAGCATCCATTGAAAGAGCAGTAATCACTAAGTTATGACTTTAGAAAACCTGCTGAATTTTATAAAGTTAGACCTAATACATATGCACGAACACTATCCGCAGACGACCTGACACAGGTATGTAACAATCCAAGATGGTCAAACTTCGATTAGCATGTTAATGTATGGACTGACAAGAAAGATCAAGACGAGAACGATATCATCGAAATTGTGCAGAAAATTATCCACATGAAAAAAAAATTCAAGGCAAAAAATACATATGGAATAACGTTTTACAAGAAGGTAGGGAAGGCATTAATACATTTCCCCAGTTAGCATCACCATGAGACATTAAATTACTGTGTAACAATCCAAGATACTATGCTTCATATCACCACGAGTCAATGAGATTGATTCTCAGCCATTGCGCTAAACGTTTCCAACCACTGATTTTTTACAATTTCGTGAATCCTGCAGAAACAGCTTAAGCTGCCATATATGATTAAGAAAGAAATCTTAAAAACTCACCGAATTCTTCTATGCCTCAATCTGGTTACATTTAGTTCTTATCCAAACAAGCCCGAATTCAGCTTTCATTGAACGTTAAAAAGGATGGTGACTTAGTAAGTGTAACGTAATATTCCGACGATTCAGTTGATGAAGGTTTTTGACTTAATCAACCCACTTACCTTATCTAGTAGCTAACTGCAGGCTTCAATACAACAGACTGACCGACAAATGCTGCCCTGACGTGGTGGTTCGACCGACCTATAACCATCATAAGATTTATTTCGGATGCAATGATCCGTCCTTTCGGTAATCACCCAATTAATCAACATAAAATTAAGCATTACTGCACAATAATCCAAACTGTCACACTTTACATTAACATAAGTAACAAAGCAGTAAGATGAGAGAAGAATAAGGAGAGGAAAATCGATCAGAATCAGAAAGCAATAAAAGAGGAAAAGGAAGAGAGAATATGGTGAGTTCAGTAAAGCGGTTAAAATGTAGACAATGTGTGTATACATCTGCGCCACTGACATCGGTTCTCAGCCATGTCATCTAAAGTCTCCAACCACCGGGTCCTCTTGTCCCATGGACCCCAACCACCTAGTCTGCATTGCCCCACATAGCTCAAACCAACAGTCAAACACTTCATACATTGGTGCCATGTTTTGGTCTGGCCACCTCGGGCCCTTTTCTAGTCTAAACCCACTTCAGCTAACATTGTGTGATGAGGCAGACGGTGGCTGGGCACACGTAATACGTGTCCCAACCAGCCATCTCAGTCGATGAGGGTTCATAACCTCGTCAACTGATTAACTTCTACTCCCCAAAACCGTATAGCTTGCTTCTGCATTACTCTTTTGGTGACACCACGGAATACGGCTTATACTACGGTGATCAAACACGTGAAGCCCTCTCATGTCTTCCACTTTCAAAGGCCATGTTTCGCAGTCATACAGAGAACAGGCCGGAGTGTTGTGCAGTGCACGAGACCCTTAATGGACAATCGGATACCACGGCGGCGCCATAGTTGGCGTAAATTCACAAAAGCCAATCGGTCCTTTTGTATCCATGCAGAGATTTCATCTGCAACTGACCCGCCGGGGCTGATCCCACTTCCCAGGTAAGTGAAGTGGTCGACACACTCAACCACTTCACTCTCTATTGCTAGCTGTAGCACCGTTGAAGACTAGTCCTAGAGCAAAAATTTGCATTTGGGTGATGAGAAACGCACCTCAAACATTCTCAAATTCCCACTCAAAGTGTTCAATAGACTCTGCATCTTGTCAGCGTCTTCACTTAACAGAACTATGTCATCTGCATATTCTAGGTCCAACGAAAATTCTCCTGTGATTGGGTCAACCTCTGTGTAACCTGGTGACGAGAGGGAGACCTCCGTAAGAATATCTATGATAAAATCGAATAAGAATGGAGACAGTTGGCAGCCTCGACTGACACACCTCGATGAGCATAGCTTCCGAGACAACTCGCCATAGGCTCTAACATGCCCACAAGTGTTCGAGTAGAGAGCCTTCAAAATGGTGATGTGCTTACTAGGCACACCTTTCAGTGAGAGACACTGACATAAGTCTTCGCGATCAACGGAGTCAAATGCCGCCTTCAGGTGGAGAAATACAGCTATTGTCGGGCATCGGTAAGCGTGCCCAAGTTCCAGGACCTGGCGCAGTGTGAATATTTGGTCGATACACCCGCGGCCAGGTCTAAATCCTGCCTGGTTTTCTAGGACTTGCTGTTCCCGAGCCCCACTCAGGCGTCGAAGAATGATAGGGCCTAGAATCTTAGACACTGTGTTCGTCATGCTGATTCCCATGTGGTTATCACAAGAGGACTTCTTGCTTTTCTTCAGAAATGTGATAATCAGTGATTTAGACCAGTCAGAGGGGATCATATTTGATTCCCATATACTGGTTAACACTTCCGTTAACCTGACTAAGAGCACTGCATCACCATCCTTGTATACCTCTGGAGTTAGTTCGTCTGGTCCTGCTGCCCTTCCACGTTTCAGGTCACCTGCAGCTTTCTCGACTTCTACTAGTATTGAGGGGCCTATCTCAATGTTCCATTCACGATATGACTGGATAACCGGCAATGCGATGGTGACTGGAGGTCAGTTAAACTGTTCCTCGAAGTGTTCTGCCCATCGTTCCAGTCGTCTCTCCTGCGAGCGAATCGCAGACCCGTCCTTTTCCGCTATAGTCTCACTAACCACAGTTGACCTTTCCCCCCACTCTTCTAAATAAGTCTAAATAGCTGCCAACTGTTACCAATCGCCTCTGCCTTTCCCATCTCCTTAGCCTTCGCTACCCACCACTGTTCGCAGCCACTGAGCAAACTTTTTCTCAATCTGCTTTTAAGTTGCGCCCGCACTTCATTGTACTCAGAGCCTGCAAACAGGGATGTGTTCACGTGCGTCCATTAGTTCGGAAGAAGCTGCTGATATCACTGGCTCTTTTTAGCCACTAGTTCGGAGTCGGCCACGGTTTTCAACGCTGCTTTTACAGCAGACTGAAGATGGCAGCAAGCTTCTTCTGGATGAGTGGTAGCCTTTTGTTCCGATAACCGCCTGGTCAACTTCTCACTGAACACAGCTTTGGTGTTTTCGTTGTCCAACAGCACTCGTAGTGGTTTTGTTACCACGTTCTTCTTACGTTCGTTGAGACGCAGGCATATACGCACTCAGACCAACGCGTGGTCGCTATCCAAATACGTACTCCAGAAGGAGCGGCAGTTCCCCACCGATCCTCTCCAGCGATGACTAATAGCAACGTGGTCTATCTGTATCCATCGCTGAGTTGAGCTCGGTGGACGCCAGGTCAGACAGTGTCTTTCCTTATGTCTGAAATTTGTGCTGGCTAAAGATAGGCGGTTATCTGGGCATAGTTATAGTAGGCAATCACCGTTATCTGTACGTTCAGCTGGGACTCCGAAAGTGCCACATAAGTGCCTTTCTGCCTCACTCAGTCTACCCACCTGTGCATTGAAGTCACCTGCAACCACCACCATGTCCGAACGTTTGGCTTTCGAGAAGAAGCTAGACAGTTTATGGCAGAACTCGTCCTTCACTTCATCTGAACTTCAGTCAATGCGTGCGTAAGCAGAGATTACAAAGAGACAACGTCGAGTTTCGCTATTCCTTTTGGTTCTCACTGTGCCATTCAGTCAGATGGTGCAGAGGCGACTATCAACTGGGATCCAGTCTAGTAGTGAGTTTTCTGCCCTAGTGCTTACTGCTATGCCTACACCTGCAAGACCACGAGAGCTAGATATCGATCGAACCTCCAGAAACTCGAAGGGTGAATTTTGCGGATTAACCAGATTGGTAGGGAGCGGTCAGGTGAATAACCACACTTGGGTCCTGTATGCGTGTCTCACAAACACAGCACACATACACGACCCCAGTTGCTAGAGTCTTTGCCAGCGAAGCCTGTTTACCAATTTGACGGAGGGTGCGGACATTGATGGCTCCAATGTATAATTTGGAGCGTGGTTTAAGGAGACCAGAGATGCTGTTCTGTGAACTCAGATCGTTACCGAAGGCTGCAGAGGTAGGAGAAATTGAAGATGACGTAACATCGTTAGTTGAGAGACGTGAAGGAAGATTAGAAGGTAATGATGAGGGAGGTGGATAGCAGTCTGAGGGAACTTGAATGCTGATCGAGTTGTGAGGGCTGTTGACACTTCCCGGCTGCTCACACTGTGAAAGGCTATTTCTCCTTAAAGTACCTGAAAGAGATTCGTGTGACCTCAGAGCCCATCTGGTTAAGACCTGTCACACGTAGACTTTTGTGCATGCCTGTTTTGAGCTTTTGTTGTCTTGGGGCCGGATGGTCGAAAGGAAATGACAAATGAACCAACACCATCGGCCCGGCAGACCGTGGGGCGTGGTGGAGTGTTATTTTTGGGGCCGACCTTTGCTAAGCCCCCCCCCTTCCGCTGAAAAGGCAGCGTCAGCATGGCACTGTTGGTCATCCAAGGGAAATATCTTACTATCACACCTCATCCAGCTAGCAGCAGTACGACTTCGCCCTCAGACCCCCCTCATAGTGTAGCAGTTTACACCACAACGGTAACTGCTTTTCGTCTTACCACTATCCAACGGATCTTTCTGGTATGGTAGGACCTTGAGGGAACAAGTGTTCCACCAGCATAGTTCGTTGGGTCATTGTGGTATGCAAGCCCGACCACCACGTCAAGGTAGCAGCTATCGGTCGGGACCTTATAGTCTTTCTTCACATGATGATGATTTAGTAGAACACGGGTGCACACGTCGCCCTTACGACCGCTGACTAGCGCATTTCACAATCTGATATAAGATGTAAGCAGTGAAGAAATACTTTACGAATCTTTCGTGAGGTTTTATACTAACCTATTCATTGAATAATCGGTTAGTCAAGGATTTGAATTAGATTGCATTTGTTGCAATACCCAAAAGATTTTCGCATCCATAACTACCAATTACTTTGGAGTAGAAATTCTATTCCTTCAAACTATTGTTTTGATATGAACAGTAAAGGTGAAACTCTAAGCGAAAGAGGAAAATACAGATGCCGACCCGGTACATGTTAACCTACAGGTAAGAAACATCGAAAACTATTATATGAATACCAGTGGCATCATCTATCTCTCCTTTTTACTTCATACATAAAAACTGGAACAACAGGCATCACGATATGCATTCCACATAATAAGATTACGTTTAGATGAATTAAAGGATGATAGCTGGTGACGTCCTCGGTCTTAATATAGAACATAAAACTGTAATGATAGCAATAAACTTTAGTTTTAAAATAGTCATTCATTCAACCTTTAATATTTCCATTAAGTAATCCTTTTAAACTAATAGAAGCTACTTCAAAAAAAGTAGCATCAGCATCTTTTTACACACCAGAAGTCTCTCTACTTTTTCCAACCAGTGCTAGCATAAGTAAATGCTCTTCAGCAAAGAAGACAGAAGTAAAGCCTGTCCTGATCACCGACGCCATTATATGACAACCAAACTACTAAAATTGCAATTTTTACTGTGTTTAAGCATAAATCGCCGAACCGCTGCATTATTTACACAGTGCAGCCATCAAAGGAGAATAATGCTACAAATACAACAATATTCGATCACACCAAGTTATACAACATCCTTAACTCACACAGAGAACAGATCTCTGTACATATACAAAAGCGCTATACACTAGACCTTGAACTGCCAGATGAATGTTGCTATAACATCGACAGTCGGTTAGATTGGAATGTGCTACATCAATTTCTCTTATACGGAAGGAAGTATGGACCTTATCGCACCACTTAAACTCAAATAACTACCAATACACAAGGATTTTTTTACAATCAGGTATAAACTGAAGTATTCGTTATAAAACTCCTGTAAATGCACGAATTGTCAATAACCAAAGTGAATATAGTAACTTTTGGTTTCTAGTAGAACTTTGCTGTTCCTTAGTTTCCAGTAAACAATGCACACATTGAATAACAAATTAAAAAACCCATTTACTTGATGACGGGGACTGTGGAATAGATTGATTTAGACTGTTCGCTGGTGTTGAATTAGCAGATGAATTAGATGTCTGACTTGGTACAGATGTTGTAGGCATACTCGGATGATTCAGTAAACCAGTAGGCTGTCCGTTTGCAAGTCGCCAGTGAAGCATGGCATCAGTAAGGATATCAGTCAGGAATTTCTGACCAGCCAGACTAACTAAACGAGCAAGTCGTGGATCACTGTTTTCCATTTGTATACCAGCACCTTCCAGTATGGCAATTGACAGCCGGTCAGGAATCTAGGGATTCACAGAAGATGTAAAGGTGGTAACAATGTCATATAACAATAGGGTTGTGAATTATTGTAGGGAACAATAATTTGGTTTGATCACCGAGTCATTCTAATAATAGTGATCAATCTAGTGAGTACATATATAAGGTTTTAAGTCATCAATGAAAAGTTACAAGTAGTAGTACCAAATACAGAATGCACTTGAGAAGTAGTCACCAACTACTGATTAGAGTATAGATTAAGTAGTGCAGGACTTATATTTCTACATAAGTATCAGTTGGAAAGACGTTTACTTAGCATCCTTGTTATTATTAAGTTGCACAATCCTATTCCTCAACCCAAAAACGTCAATTTTCATGTGTTATTGACTAATAGAACCAAATCATTTACAGTTACAATAACAACTTCAGGTTTTACGACACTGCTCTGTTCAGAGATATGGTTCAAAACATGTGAGGTGACTTACTCTTGTTGAAATCCACCATTGATGTATACTGCCTACTAAACTTCACATCAGACTCAGATGATTACTACTCCTAAAACCCCGCTATCGATTTCATGTTACAGCTCTCAACGCCCATCAAATCGGTATGGTATGCTTATGCACCTGAGCTAATCTGGCCAATGTAGTGAATCTTAGATGTTCACCTTAAAAATGTATAGAAATTCACTGGTTAATTCTCGTAGAATCGCTGGTGTAGGCATAATAGTAAGCTTTCTCAAGACGAACGGTTACAAAGTTGGGCAGAGCATTTTGCAGCACAGTTCAACTGACCTACAGTACCATTTCAGTTGCCCAGTATCCAGTCCAAACCTGAATGGGGTGTAGAAGTTCGTCCCCAAACTCTCCTCGAAGTTGAGGAAGCTGCTTATAACTTGAAACGATCCAAAGTAGCAGGAAATGACGGTTTTCCACCAGATTTTTAGCATGGAGATAAAATATTACTGGGAAAAGTAACCGGCGTTTTGGGTAACGTTTGGTAATCAGAGGTAGTCCCATCAAACTGATCTACTTCACTGATTATTCCGATATTTACGAAAGGAGAGAGGTTTTTTTGGCAACCATAGGGTGACCAGTTAAACTAACGTTGTGTACGCTGAGTTGCAGTCCGTTCTGTCCTGTTACACGGTTGAGAGGCATTGCTGTTGAAAGTAGAAGGTATGAAAAGAATACAAGTTTTCGAACACTGGTATCTTTGCAGCACTGCTGACGCAGTGGTGAGCAATGTAAAAGTTACACGAAGGGTACTGGGCAAGGCAAGTAAGTTAGTCGATGAGGTTGAACCTTTACCAGTTGAACTGGCTTGGACATATGTTGTGCATGCCGATCCACCCCCTACCTCAACGTGCCATGTTAGGGGAAGTCGGATTGGGTTAGAGGAAAGCTCGGGAAACCAGATCAAAACGTGGCACGAGTTTATGAAGTCTCTCACTCTTGGTCTGTGCTATGTAAGGAGATGTAGACTGCTTGGTTGGGGACTATGGGAACCAGAGTTTGCAGACACTTGGTGAAATGGTCGAAATTCGGTCACATAACAGTGCAGATGTGTTCACTCTCTGACATCCTCCAAAGCTTGAATATTCCCACCAACCTTCAATTTCAAATGGCTTCTCCTGCCGTACACCTTCGTCTACCTTGATATTAATCTTTTTCTGTCCACTAGTTCTTTGTATATTACTGTGAAGTTTGGCAACATGAACCAATACGCTAATGTGAGGTCCTACGTTGATTTCGCCTTTCTTACTGACGAAATAGTCTCGACAAAAGAATCTACTCTATTCGCAAACACTGAATGTATTTGAAACAAGTGGTAAAATACATTTTATTCTAGTCGTATAATATCAGAACATGAGCTTAAGAAAGGTCCATATAAAAAGTCAAGTTGTAAAAGTGCAAAGTTGTCCATTTCAAATAAATTACAGAACAATGGGAAATATTTTATTCCTATTTAGTCGAAAGGTATAAATATCTGACGGAAAATCATCTGTGTGAAAAAACAAAATCCATTCACTTTAACCAAGATACATTGTTAGTGAAAATCACTTACTGTAGGCTGAATATGATCAAGTTGAGTCCATAAATTATTTAGAAGTACATCACTTGCACTTGTGGAACCAGACGATGCTGGAACAGATGATGTCGTTACGCCAGCTGTATGACAGCCGTCAACTCCAGATGTCACTGATGCTTTGGAAGGTATACTTTCATTAATCATAAAGTATATAGTTCTCACTTAAAACTGATGACAATGATCGGAAAATATAACTAAAACAAGGAAACGGATATTGTTAACAAGTATGGAGTCGTTATATGCGAAATTTGTACGCGAAATGTTTCCAACCGAACCAGAACCCATAGAAATTTGAAAAGTACTCAAAAAAAACCTTTAGGGGTGCACGGGTAGTCAATAGTTGAATGGATGGAGAGAAAACCAGTATTAACATTGAAAACGCACACATGTACATTCAGAAACAAGTTAAATTCGAAACAGAATGGTACTGAAAAGTAACAAGAATGGAATACTTTTTTAAAAATTTCGTGTTGACACATTTGCGACACTAAACAGTAACTTACAATGAAAGATGTTGAAAGTTGCAGGCAGAGGAGAAACAACACTAGGATGAATGAATTCAAATGACCAATGACGTGATTAGTCGATCACCATTTAGTCAGTGATTTGAACGGAAAACAAACGTTATTTATTAGACGCACACAAATCTTTATGCATATATGACTCATAACTAGAATTGTGTAATAAAGAGAAATATCCTGTATGCGTATTTTTGATAGTCCTGAAAACTTTTCAAGACCTGTTTTCACTGAGTGGTCCTCAGTGATATACAGCGAGAAAAAAATCCATTTTATGTTACTTCTAACTACATCGCTACCCAATTAGACTGGTCAAGGATACATACTAATTTTAAAGCATATACTCGGATCCTCCAAGTAAAAAACACAATCAAGGCAATTTCAAGCCTTTACGACGAGCATCAAGAAAACTGGGTATTGTCAAATACTTTAATCCGAAGAACGACAGTGCCAAAGTATTCTAAGTGGATCTCTCGGAAATTCATTGTTTGAGAAGCATTCACAATAAAACTACATAATAGAGGAAATAGATACTGATCAATATTTGTTGTCATCGTGTAATATGCCTTCTAGACAGCAATAGTTATAGGAAATTTGCAGACTCCGTCACTGTTGAGTGTTTGAAGCGCCTGTTACATAAAAATACTGCACTATTTATGGACGCCAGTTTGTGCAGTCGAAAATACGCTGAACATTCATCAAAAGAAGCTACACACTGTAGTCACCTAAAAACATGAACCAATACAGAAATACGAGAATTGATCAACTCAGCCAAAAACTGCTTGTCATAACAATTTCGGTGATAGCTTTACAGTTAACTTATTTCCGAACACTACGGTTTAATCAAAGGAATTCATGAGGGGTAAATTTAACCATCAGAGCCTTAAATAGTGAGAATTATCAAACTATCCAACTGATAGAAAAAACAGTTTAAGATCAAATACAAGAACAAGCTAAGTAGGATTTCTGTGCCTCAATGTTTCAGAAGACTTATGAGAGTTTTCATCTTTAAGTACTCTACCGATTCTCGACTTTCAACACCAAAAGGATATAATTTTCTAAATAAATGCTGAGCACTCAATGCAGACTGGAAAGCAGAACAACAAGCTAACACCATACACACTAATAGCATTAAAATCCAAGTTCATATACAAATTATATTGAAATAAGATTTCGACAATACACCAAGTGATACACATTACTGTACATCTTTAGGAGATAAATGTACGATTCTGTTTCGATCCAGGAATTATCCTCAAGCACAAAGCCGTTCTGCAGCTGGTCCCTGCATGAAGCTTCTGCCCAACTCCATATTTTGCGTAGAAGCCCACTTGTGAGAAGACCGCGCAACCAAGGAGTGATGTTTGATTTACAAAATGACGATTCTGAAGTTTTCGGTAGATTCATATTACTCAGTGAATAACGTTCCACATTTTCAAAATCATCCAAAGACATCCAACGCACTTCGCTTACTTCATCAGGATTGATTTTTATGATATCTGTATCCAAAAGATTATGAGCTAGGAAGAAATAATTAAAACTAAAATAGATTCCTGTTGGACGTATTCAAAAACATATATTCACTTGAATGAAAAACCATTTTAAACTGAGAAATTATAGGTCGCACAACAAAGACTGTCGTCATATATTTCTCAGCCCTAAAACCTCGAAAAGATAGATGAACAAAAAAGTTACTGTCTCAAGATATAACACGTGACGGATATACACCTTCGAAGTAATTCAAGAGAAATAAAGCAAACGATTTTCAAAGTGAAAATGCAGCATTTATGCTAGAAAGAAAGTCAGTATTTCACGATTTCAACTGAATTATGATGCTGAATTATGTACAATGTAGTTACACTCGAAATGCACTCAGCAACCTTATGCACTTTCATGCAGTAGGTAATGAGCTACACCTAATGTGTAAGGTCAATAATACTACTTCACTGCCCACACCTTGGTACGTGGAACAGGATTCAAACCCGTGACATTGGTTGAAAGTCATTTCGCTAAACCAACGGTCATAGCTCTACAATGTAGTTATACTGGATTTGACAGCAAGATTATAAAGCCTTCTTCGCATGCAATTTTTAAAACACTATCTGAACAGTCATAAACTAAAGTGTTAATGTAATATCCGATTCATAAGTATGTAACAGTTCATGTGCCTTTACAACTGAAACCTATATAAAAGTATAAATCAGTGACTGGAAACTAGATGATATAATTTATAATTTAGAGTTGATTGTAGTGCTGAAGATCATTATTTGACCAGCAAAAATCTCGTTTAATACATATTTACTCAATATTGTTTTTAATTGCTTAGTTACACTCCGTCTTTCGTATTACCCTATTTTTCAACAACAGTTTCTGTATGACCAGTGTTCCATAGCTGTTGTCCAATAACGTGGCAATTCGAACACACTTTATTACAAACATACACTGTTTTCGCTTGCCTGATGAACCACACAGATTTAACCGGACAGACAGAATCAACGTAGAACCTTGCACACAAGCGCATTGGTTCAAGTTGCCACACTTCACAATAGTAAACAAAGAACAAGTAGATAGAAAAAGAGTAGCACCATAGATAAAGTTGTGTGAAACAATAAACAATCTGAAGACAACGATCAGTGTGGATATTCAACCTTTAGAAGACGTCAAAGAGTGAATACATCTACACCCCTGCGACCGATTTTCAGCCATGTTATCAAGCGTTCTCAACCAATGATTCCTATCGTCTCAGGTACCACTCCTTGGCAGTCTACATCTCTCCACACGGCTCAAAGAAATCACAAGCTCCAGTGGTCTGGTTCACATACTAGAATTCTTTGCCAAATACTAAAATAAGACTTTAAGAGATTCGCCTTCAGTTGGATAATCAGATGTCACTATATTCACACAAACAAGGATGGAAAGTGTCAAGAATTTACACAACGTTCTCAAAACCATTGAGACCAGTCACTGTGTTAAAATTAAATTTTCAAATTACTTAATCACCCTTTTTTAACATATTTTATACTTTATTCTTGAAGTTGACCACTAACAAAATATCCGGTAATTTTCTTTTCACTAGTGTTGGGAAATTATTGAAAACCAAACAACTGATACTTTTTAAGTTGGTATTCATCGTAGACTGACATCAGTTGGAGTGACAGTGGAAACCTGGGAGCACTGGACAGCTGTCTCGTCCTAGTATGGGACTCCCCAGCAGTGCGCACCTATGGCCCCACCAGGGATCGAACCCGTGACCTTCAGGTCCCGTGATACTTTTCAGCTGAAATCCAAAACAACTGATGTTATTTCTCTTTTTAAAAACCATGTAGTTCATTGGCTCAATATATTTTTGACTCACTAGCGATTTCGGTAGAGACCGTTTTGTATTCCTTACCTTCCACATAAGCAACTACACAATTCCAAAACAAAATACAATAGAAGTTTTCTTTAACTCGTTACTGTGTAACTATCTTATTCTTTACGATCAGTACTCTTGTTTCATATTTTTCCTCTTCATATCCTCATAGGTAATCGCAACCCAACGCACTTAACCACCTTGTGCACATCCGTGCAGCAGGCAATGAGCCATACTTATTGTGTGAGGGCTAGTGTTATTACCTGGTTTCCCAAAACCTCGATAGGTGGAGTGAGGCTCGGACCCGTAACCAAGTGGTTGATAACCATCTCCACAAACCACTGAGCGACAGCTCAATAATAAGTACTCATTATTCGTGAAGCATCAAACGAAATAGGTCTGCGTTTTCAAAAAAGGGATGGATCGAAATTTACTCTAATACTGCTTTGAAGTTTTTATAAATCAAATTCAGATGGCACTTGGGATTTGTTTTTTGGTACTACTGGTAAGTAATGCTATATCCTAGAAATGCCTTGCTAGCGAACTACACGCTTTTAAGACCAAGATTGTTCATACTTCAGCGGTTTGAAGTGATGATCTTACGTGAACAGGTGGTTGGTTTCATTCACAACTGTGATTTCTCGTGTGAAAAATCAACACAATGACAAGTCACACGGTTTCTTTTCTCAACTCTTACTGGATAAACGACGAGACTGCTACTCACTAGTGTTATTAATCAATACATAAAATTACCCACTTGCGACGTATAATTATTAACAAACCTTTAATAAATGATTTTGTGCACAGAAAAGAGAATTACACACTTTAATTAACTTTCTCTAACAGAGTTATTTCGGAGCTGTAAATCTTAGTAATAAATAAGCGGATCGACACACTTACAAATTGAGCTAGTCAGTAATAGTAAGAAAATAAGTCCAGAGTAAAACATCTTTTAAAATGAATAAAATAACTCAACCAACTGTATTATCTGCAATCCATATTTTCTGGGTTGCTATAACAATACTATCTGCCTAAATAGCTTTCTTTTTGTTGGCCAGAAGACCTTTAACAAATAAAGACCTATCTATTAAGGATATGCTGAAAAACATTACTACAATTTATCGTTACTACTTACTTAACCGCTTGAGGTTACTGAGTCATCTTTATCACCTCACCACCTCGCATTCATAAAGCATAACCTATGAGTAATTTTATACACTAATGGTCGACTCAGTCAAGCAGTTACTTTTTATATCGTAGTGCTTCTATATACCCATTCACCCAGATAATAAGCGTGACTCTGTACCCAGATAGACTTACGCATCTAAACTTAAGAAACACTGAGGAGAAATATACAGAAGTGCACATGCATCAGGGATTTTAAACAGGAGTAAGAATTTGGATGAAACTAAGATCTGACAGTAATTAATGTCTGATGAACTTTTGGTGGAGTTAAAACTGCCTTTCCACTCACTTTCCACGGGCTAAAACACTTTGCCAAGACAGTATTGCGAAATCTAGATACAACAATATAAAAAAGGACACAACTTTTACCAGCCTCAAATAATTCACTAGAAATAAAGTTGAGAAACGAATTATTACTCAGGAACGATCAACCGTCAATAACACCGAAGTAACATTCAAGAGAAATTCAACTACTTTACTATTTATTCTCTGAAAAATACCCTTCTCAAGTCCAGTCACAATACTGATTTCCAAAATAAAGTGCTTCTCTGACAGAATTTGCCATGATTCTGCAAAATACGTTATCTAAATCAGTTTTGTATCAACATGAAACCTGGCACTACTGCATGACAGCCCAAGTTGTCACACCATATATCAGCTCACGAAGATAGTAGACAGACGGAAGACAGAGAAATGAGGAAAAGAGTAGTAAAAAGTAGTACAAGGTTGAGAAAACAGAACAAGAAGAAATGGAATAATGATGGAACTCGGTATGACGACTAAGATTAAGGAAACGTGTAGATATACGTATGTCACCAAGATCGATTCTGAGCATTATCGCCTGGAGTCTCTGACCACCAATTTCGGTTGTCGCCCGGACCCCAACCGGGAAGCTCACATATGGGCACTCAGACCAGAGTAACGGTCAAAGACTTCATCGAATGATGTTGTTTCAATTTGACTGTCTCTAATCATTTTCCAGCATAAAGTTACTTAAGCTAACATTGTGCGATGGGGCAGACGTTGGCTGTATGTGTGTAGCACCTGTCTCAGGTACGTGAGTCGATGAAGTTTACAATCTCTCCAATTGGCTCCCCTCTTCTGCCTGAAACTGCATACCTGACTTCTACCTTACTGATGTGATGGTAGCATGCATGACACAAAGCCTATGTTACGAAAGCCATAGTGGTTTAACATCTAACATCCTGTACTGATGATGGATATGTTTCAGTCAAATAGTAGAACACGCCAAACTGCAGCGCAGTATAATCGGCCATTAACTAGCAACTAGATATCACGGCGACCCAAAAAAGGTTGGAAAGAGACAATTGAGATCTATGTATCCGCGTGAAGATTCCACCAGTCAGTAACTGGTCTATGAAATCTTTGAAGTGCTGATGTGAGTAATGTAGAAAGGCCTAGACTGTCTGACTGGGGTCTTCCAAATACTAAGAGCCAGCATCAGCCTCTAGTCATTTGCAGAAAACATTTCAGTTATCATACACACACCCAGCCAGAAGTATAAATCCTCTCTCGGATCCCTGATCATAGCGTAGCCATTCACACCATAACGATGACTGCTTTATCCTACCGCCATCCAACAAAGCTCTCTTATATGGTCGGATCTCAAGGAAAAAATGTTCAAGCCAGCATAGCTCACTGGTCGCTACAATATCCAAGCCTTTATACCACGTCCAGGTACCACATATCAGTAGATATAACTGCGTTAGGGGCGGGAAATATTTTGTTTAGAAAAAAGACTGATTGGGCGAAGAAATATATTCCTTCCAATCGAAATACCAACCACGTGGGGGGTTTGTCTGAGTTGGGAATTTATGGCTTACCGTTTCTTCTCAGTGAAGTGAGAATTTCAAAACAAAAGCTTATTCTTCCGAAAATGTGATGTGCAACTCAAAACTAACAACCAAACATAAAGTGGAACTCGGTTACGAAGTTGTCCCACTGAAGCATGATATATACTAAGTAAGAGGGAACCAGAATGAGCAATTCACCTTCCTTTGAGACAATATAGCTCAAGTTAGCACATCATTAAATTCAAAACATACCTATTTGACTACTGAAATGTGATACATAGGGAAAAACTAAAGCCTATGCAGCATGTCACTAAAACAAACCAATACTCTTACTACAAGTTGAGGTAAACAAAAATTGATTCTATGTAGTCACTCACTAATATTACGAATATCACTGCAAGAAAATTCAAATGAACGTTACGCTCGAATTCTCAGGACTTACTCATCGCAGGATCCAGCACGCTAACGAGAATATAGTCCACTTCATTTTCTGCAAATTTATTCTCAGTAAAAGGCTCGTTCGGTGCGGCATAAAGTACTCGACCCAGAAAGTTGATCCTATTAATCGGCAAAAAGTTAGTTGCTATCCCTAATTCCTGCAGCAGCTATTCACTAGATGCTATAAAAGCGAAATTCTCACCTTCCGCTGGGCAGCCTTTTCACTCCAAATGCATCTAATTCAACCATTTCATCTGGGAAGTTTCTGATAGGATGACTGCAGCAAGTGTTTGACCATAAAGACGGAAATGTTAGTTTATTTGCAGAACGTTTCTGAACCAGTAGCTTCAAACTCCTATCTGAATTACTAGCATTTGTATCTTCACGAAAAAGAAATAAGCTAAAAGCTCGATGCAATAAAGATTTTCCGCCTAACACCTCGTGACAACCCTATAACCACACTTGGAAAATAAATTACATAATTACCTTCTTGTCAGCGAATCCTAAAACATGGTCAGATTCATCCACAAGTATGCATAATTCCTCTAGCATATATTTCGACTGTAAGCTAAAATACCGTCTAGCTGCCGAAAATATAAACATTGGGGTGGATGACCTTGACATCTCCAAGAAAGAAAAGATAGGTAACTGACAATCCAGCCTTCGTATAGTACTTAGTGGACTGAAATTTCCTTAGGATCTACGTATATGCCATTAAAAGGGGATTTTGTGTGGAGTGGTTAACATTCGTCTTGATCCCAAGAAAACCTGGAAAGAACGAAACCAGTAATTAGTAGCGAATTGTAACAGTACTTATTAGTCGAGGGTTACGAAGTTGTTTTTAAACCACTGACTAGGATAGACATATTACCTGGTTATGGAAGCTAGAGTAAATGGACCAGTAACAGTATAACAATATTTGCACGAATCTTCGCCAGTACCTTTTCATGTTTAGTCCAAAGGGTCCCAGGTTCAAGCCCCACTCCTGCTACCGAGGTCTGAGCACCCAGATATCACTAGCCCTCATATAATAGGTGTGGCTCATTGCCTACTGCACGAATGTGCACAAAGTTGCTGAGCGTATTTCGATTCGATTCGATTGCATGTTTAACAGTGGGATAAGGAATTTCTGAATGAGACTCAACCAGTACAACTACAATCTCACCTGTTACGATAAACCACTAAGGCTATATTGACTGAATCTCTTCAAACTCAAAATACTGACATGAGAGGAGGGGATTTCCAACAATCTAAAAGCCGATCCGGGCTATGGCAACAATGTATGCTACAGTCACAGTGGATATTCAAATATCTTTTCGTCCACGACAAGTAGGAGTCAGTCTTAAAACTTGTCCTCAGTCAACATTTCACCAAATCTACCACTTATGGCGTGATAGGTAGACTCGCCTCTCCTGACGACATCCGAGTTAAATTATTTGAAACGCTCGTTTTTGATATCTTGTCAGATGAGAAACGTAGGCTGCAGGAAGGCGATTTTTTGATCAAAATACTACGGAATGATTCCGAGTATTGTAATCCTGATGGCCGTGCCTAAATATGAAAGCATCAAGACATTTTCCGAGAAAAACCGGCATCCCAACAACGCTGCCTTTCCGTCATCGCTGACACGTAAGGAAAGGTGGGTCATGAAAAAAGAAACTATACTCTTACCACATGGAGATAAAATTTAGACACTAGGGTTTCTGAATTATGGACCTCACTTATGAAAAACAAATCACTTGTTTCCAAGCACAACTTGAATTCTGCTGCCACGTGATTAAGTCAATAGGATCACCAATACTAATTTAGTTTTAAAAACTATCAAAGGCAGGAAGAACCGATTATATTCACAACAGTAGCACTTTCATCCTTTTCGTCTATACTTTACATTCTCCTGTCTCTTAATATCTAAATCCGTGGAGCTGTGACTCAGTGGTTCAGAGAGATGACAGGTCACAGGTCGCAACCTGACTGTATCTACAAAGGTTTGGGCAGCCAGGTAGTATCACTAGCCCTTACACAATGTGTGGCTCATTGCCTACTGTACAAATGTGCACAAGGTGGTTGTGTTCAGTTTCCTTCATCATCTACTTCCTGTTATTAACTTCATACCACGATTAATTCTTTGTATTTATACAGCGCCCACCAGTGATCTGATACTAAGTGACATTTCTGATCGGAAACTATATTGGAAACCATACGTTGGAGTTCTGAGTATCTGAAACTTATGTCGGATCGTGAAACAGGCTTTACTACCCTAAAGTTTGGAATTCTGGACTGTACTTGGATGTTCATGCACTAGGCGATGAAGCAAGGTAATTGCGTGGCGGCTTGTGATACTCCCCGATAGCTCAGACCTTGAAAGATGAAAAAAGATTCTAAACGATAGCTGACTAATCAAAACTCGGCTGTTTAGATTAGAGAGTCACAATCTAAACTGTCATTATTTATTTGACCATATCTAGCCATTGCAGCAAGCTCAAACAATTTAAGACGTATGGGAACTTAATGGTCAGTTCTAACGGTACTGCATGTTTGTGTACAGTAGTAAGTTCTATGGAAAAACGTACAAACCCCCAGCATACCACAGTTTTGCATGTGCACAATACAGTAAGAGCTAAAAATGAAGAAAAATCTAAATGCACTTGGAAAGCATGTGCACATTTTCGCAGCAGATAATGAGTCACGGCTATTGTATGAGAACTGATGATAACACCTGTCTTAAAAGACCTTGATATGTGGAGCAGGACTCGTCTGTGACTAACTTGCTGTAAGTCAAGTGCCTAGATCAGTGAGTCAGCCCCAACCCAACAAATCGTGAAGCACACTAAGGTAATTTTATGCCTTCATATGGATTTAATATCTACAGTTTGAATGAAGTGAAGACGAACAATACTGAAACATATCCGACCGCTTATATAAGGTCAAATGTACACTTGAGGCTGTTGATGCGAGTGAATCTTATCCTTAATTAGGAAAGCTGCATCAAACAAAAATAAGCTTTCGATGTTTCGACTCCATGAGATATTAGTAGTGACCGTTTGCATCAACCTTACCATGAAAACCATTCACTCCTAGTATGTACCACCCTTAAACATGAATCACTTTTGCTTACCATGCTGAACTGCTATGATATGACCTACGGCGCTTTTAAAATTTCACATCGAGCCAGTTTGTATTCAGCCGCAACCATTCACAAATGATAGTGAAACACAAAACCCCCAAGGAGTTTACACGTTAGGTCGATGGGAAACAATCGATAATGTGGTTTCAATATATTAGTTTTGTAGGATAATGAATGTGGTTTAAATTGTATTTAAACGGATTGTTGAGGCACAAATAATCACTTGGTGGTAGACTTTCGGAAGAGCAAGTATTCTAAACACTTGTGCCTGATAAGTGATAATACATACACAAACTTCTAATGTTCAAAATAACTCAATAAGCGGCGTAGCTATGCAGAAGTGACATCCTTTAATAAGCTAGAACAAACTTAGCAGGAATTCTGAACTATTAGAAACAACGACTGAATCTTATCGTTGTCACCAAACATTAAATTCATCCCACGAGCACAGCATAGATGGACTCATTCACCTTCATCCAGTGTCAAAGTAGGACATCAAGTAAGCGTATCCATAAAACCAGGTGTCATACCAACTTAACTGCGGTGATAAACGTCAAACAAGAATGAATTATTTTTAGTAAGGCATAGGATCACGATCTCCAAGGAACGTCACACATTAACAGCCGAAATAGAGGTAACACACGCTTTTTGAACTCTTGCGTCTAAGATTACTTAGACCCTAGCCACCAATGAAGCGGAAACTCTAAATGGTTGGAGACTTCAAAACTAACAAATAGGCATAAACAATTAGCAAACCGAGTGAAAAAAACAATTAAATATTTGGAAATGACATCTTAAGAACTCAGGGTGGAAATTCGACCACTGGGGAGTTAGAGCAGAGTTAGTGGGAAACAAAAGTATCATAACAAAAAGTCCCACGTGCATGAATACGTTGTCCCCAAACTTAAGAACACTTGAACCTGAACACGTGGGATATTGGAATCTTCATAAAATGGTACGAATAAGGTCAACAATGAGTTCTCTAGGCTTTGCTTTTGGGTTTGGAGTTTTTATGCGCTCGAGTACATTAATATTTAGTAACTTTACGCTCAATGAATACAAAATAAAATGACATTGCGAAATGCCAAGCAGATAAAACTGTTTACAACTGTCTGCAATGTGCGTAACCGTTTGATAATCGGCCTATGCTACACCACCCAATCCTTAACACTAAGAGTAAAACCTACAGTTGGAAGCCCGCTTGTAGATATCACAATTTAAAACCACATTCTGAACAACGTCAATCCACCTTTTTATTTCGGTTTTGATGGACTTTAAAAAAGACCATCACTGTAGAGCATTGAAATTAGCCAGTAGTTCCACTCCGTACAGATAATCAATTCCAATATTCAATATTGATAGTGCGAGCTTAGAAAACTGGTCGTTTTTGATCTCTCGCGTCTTGTTCTTAGGGCTTGGGTCGAGTTGTTCGGTTCGCGCCTGCAGTCGACGAGGAAATCTCTCATACTTTCTTGCTTTCAGCTTCGGTGAGGTGGATGTTTTGTGGGTAAGTTGTAATTTGTAGAGTGATTGGGGAGCTACGGGTTGCTGGGAAGTTTAGAGAACTGCTGTGACTCCTGTCTGTGTAGGTACCTGAAAGAGAATAGTAAGGTAGTGGTAAAGGAATGAGGAGAATAAAAAAGAGAGGAAAAAATAATAATAATATGGGAAGAGAAAAGGGAAGGAGAAGAAAAGGAGGGGTGAAAAGAGAAATGAGAACGAAAGAAAAGTATTTGGGAATTGCCCGAATGGTCGCGTGGGTTTGGTTCCTACAGAAGAATTAGTAGGTAATGTGGGTGTATTAAGGAGAGAGATAGTGAGTGGTAGTTAGGAGGGAGTTGGGGGTACTGAGGTTGGTGACTACCTGAGTACGTCCGTGGTAGTCCATGCGAGGTGACATAACTGTCTAATCGCCTCTTGAAAGAGTCGACTGAAGGAGCTATAACGATGTGTCGCGGTAAGGCATTCCATAAAGCACATACTCTTAGGGAGAAAAATTTGGACCTGAGTGTGGTGTTGGCTCTCTGGTGTGCTATCTTAATGGGGTTTCCTCGTGAAGATCGTTCAGTTGCAGGCAAAATTGATTTGTTTGCATGGTCTGCCTGATGGGCGATCTTGTATGCCATAATGAGGTCACCCCTTTTCCTGCGATAACCCAAGGTAAATAGGTTGAGGTGTTTAAGTCTTTCAGGATACGTCTTTCCCCTTAGCCCCACAACTGATTTTGTTGCAGTTCTTTGTATTCTTTCAAGGAGATTAGAGTCTCTCTTGAGTGTTGGAGGAGCCACCGTATTGAAGACCTCTAGGTGCGGCCGCACGTAGGATTTGAAAATGGTGAGGAAGAGTTCGGGAGTGAGGGCGCCAAGCTGTCTACGCAGAAAGTGTAGAATGGCGTTCGCTCTGGTTGTCATACCTTTGTAGTTGGAGCTGGTGTCCAAGGTGTCGGAGAAGTTGAGCCCCAAATCTTTCTCCATGGACACTCTGGTGATAGCACGGTTGC